CCCCAAAACCCCAAAACCCCAAAACCCCAAAACCCCAAAACCCCAAAGAAATTTAAAAACTGAATAATTATTAACCTAAACATGGAGAAACAGAAAGAAAACTTTACTGAGGAGACAAATCAGGAGCCTCAAGAAGAGACTAAGAAGCAGAAGAAAGGATTCATGAGCATGGTCATGAAGAGTATGGGGTAAGCACTTTTAAATATTTGGGAGCTTAAATTTACGCCTTCACCTACTTTTTAAATCTGAAGGTCCGGCTTTGGATAGGTGATAATTTTCACTCTAGAATGGGCACTAAATCACCCGAAGTCAAGTACAGAGTAATTAGTTACCCAGAATTGATAGATGATAAGAAAACAATGAAAGCTTATGCAGCTCATATCCCTTGGATGACTTATAGAGAAGGATTTAATTCAATAGATGGGTATGAGAGTGACACAGGATGGGGATGTATGATTAGAGTTGCACAAATGATGCTAGCCTTCACACTTATGAAGCATTTTAAGTACAAAATGGGCCCAGAATTAAACAAAACTTTATTAATCCAAGACCTTATGAAAACAATTCTGCCCTTATTCTTGGATAACTACGTTCAATATGAATCTCCATTCAGTATCAAAAACATTGTAGCTGAAGGGGAGAAAATGATCAATAAAGGTGCTGGAGAATGGTATGGAGCTCATTCAATTTCTCAAGTTATAAAACAAGTAAATGATAAATATAACTCTCAACACTCTACATTCAAAATACTTACTTTCAATGATGGATTAATTTACAAAAATGAAGTCGACCAAGTCTTTACTGATATAAAGGAAAATGGTTGCTTGATCATAGTTCCACTCAGGTTGGGGTTAAAATAAGATCGATAAGTGCTATTATACTCAAATAAAGAAAGCTCTTTCGCATCCTCTCTCTGCAGGGATACTGGGCGGCAAAAGTGTCTATGCACTTTATTGAATTGGATATTATAATGAAAAATTAATTACTCATGATCCTCATACAGAACAAGAAACTGTTGAGGAGGTAAATGATTCTACTTTTCCAACATTTGTGAATCCTCATCCTAAAATAATCAGCTTCAGTGAGTGAGACACAACAATGGCCTTCTGATTCTTCTGAAATAATCAGGATGAAGCCCTCTCTCTTTATAAAACCATAGAATCATGGGAAAGCACTGAGGAAGATGAATACCTGATCTGAGTAAAGGATCAAAATGAGCAGGTTAAATACAGCTATGATGAAGATAATCCTGAATTTGACTATGATTTTGAGCTCATATAATGTCAAAGTCTTCCTTAGCTTTCTATTTTCTCATGATTCAACAAGTACACGATTTCTTGGGGTTTTGGGGTTTTGGGGTTTTGGGGTTTTGGGG